GGGTGGGAGGGAGGCAGTGGTACATAATGAGCAACTGAATAATGAAATCAGATCTAGATAGTTGCCTTAAGTTCAAAGTTATAACTTTATTTTGTTGTTGTTGGACTATTTTGTCTTACCTACACATCATACTGTAAATGCAGACACTGCATGACATTCAGTAACCTACTGTAAACCTTAAATCCCAAACATTGAAAATGTGCTGATGACACATTAACTATTATGGCCCAACCCAATTTACCCCCCTGCCGCTAGAACCTTAGATTACCCTACAGTTGTGCAAAATCACCTAAGACATACCTTCTTTTAAAGTATTGAATGCTCTATGAAATTTACTGATGACAGAATACTGTAGAGTATGATATTTAGCTAGTCCCTCCTCCTACTGACTGAATAGCTGGCCAGGAGGTGAGACTAACTGCAAATGCTCAATGGCTGGAATACTTACACATTCCAAGAGTATTGCAAAGGACATCCTAGCCTGTGCAACAATAAAAATTCAAAGTTAGATGTATGGGGTGTGGCATGTAGTCTGGTAGTAGAACACTAACCTAGCATATGCAAGAGCTCAGATTTAGTCTCCAGCATTGAAAGAAATAAAAAGGGGGCTGAGTGTCTGTTCAATGTCTCTTGATTTTGCACCTTTGTAGAGCCAAACCATGGTGAGTTAGACCTTGTTAATTCAAAAACCATCTGGAAAGGGAAACCTCCCCTCCCCCTCACAAGCATAGGAAGGGGCTTTTGACTCTGAAGTAGTACTCTGAAGTGTATCCCAGTCTCCATGCGGCACAAAGCGTATCCACTGCAGTGGGGCATCCTGGCCCTTTTATCACATTTTCATAAATCTGCCAGGGCAATAGGATCACCTCGGGAACTCATTAAAAACACACCAAACATTCACAGAGGCAAAAGTTGAGCATCTTTGTAATTTTCAATTATAGAGCAGAATTTGGCAACTGGATAATTGAAGATAGAGATGGGAGGAAGCAACTGTTCATCTCTCTCTCTCTCTCTCTCTCTCTCTCTCTCTCTCTCTCTGTGTGTGTGTGTGTGTGTGTGAGAGAGAGAGAGAGAGAGC